CGCCCCGACGCCCGAGCAGTGGGTGGACTCACCTGGCGCAGGGGTAGGCGTGTGGAGTCCTGTCACCTGAGCGCCGCGAGCAGCCAGCCAGGACCGGACCTGTCACCCGAGCGACAGGCGTGCGACCTAGGCCGGCCAGATACACTACCGAGTCGGGGGCTTCTTTCCCGCAGTCACCATCTTCCGGTTTTGCTCAGTTTCTAATGAGTAACCGCCAGCCCGAGGCTAATGAGAAAGCCTTTCGAAACCCAGTAGAGAGGTTGGGGAGGTGGGTGGTATGGCACAGCCAAGATTCTTTTTTTTTTTTTTTGGAGGGGTTTTTGTTGTAGGGCCAGAAGGACAGAGAGAGACAGAGAGACATAAAGCGAGAAGTCACCCCCCAGGGGGGATGGCCACGCCACAATCCCTTTTCCTCCATTCTCCTCTCGGGATCTTGGACAGGCATGCACACGCACCCGGCGTGAGTTTACACCACTGGGTCTGGGACTAGAACCATGGTCAACTACATGGGAGTCCGGCAACATAGCCATTACGCTAACTGCTGGTCCCGAACAGCCAAGATTCTTTCTCTTTTTTTCTTTTCTTTTTTTTTTTTTTTTTTTTTTTTTTGGGGGTTTTGCATTTAGGGTTCGCTATAGGGTGAGTGCGCTCGCCAGACACAGAGAGACAGAAAGCGAGAAATCACTCCCCAGGGGGGATGGCCACCCTGCAATTCCTTCTCCATTCTCCTCTCGGGATCTTGGGCACGCACACACACGCGCCCGGGGTGAATTTTAAGCCCTCGGGTCCGGGACGCGAACCGCGGTCGACTATGTGGGAGTCCAGCGACATAGCCATTACGCTAACTGCTGGTCCCCCCCACCCCCAACAGCCAAGATTCTTACCAGTGGCTCCAATCGTCTTTAAATTAATTCATTCACCCATTCAACAAGTATTTATTGACCACTTCCTTGTACCAGATACTGTTCTAGTAGCTAGTTCTCCTTTGGTGAAGCAGGGGTCAAGATTGTTTCTGGGGGCCAGCAGTTGGTGTAATGGCTATGTCGCTGGACTCCCATGTAGTTGGTCACGGTTCAGATCCTGGCCCGGGTGGCTTAAACTCATGCTGGGCGTGTGTGTGTGTGTGTGTGTGTGTGTGTGTGTGCGTTTGCATGCGTGCCCAAGATCCCGAGACAAGAATGGAGGAGAAGGGATTGTGGCGTGGCCATCCCCCCTGGGGGAATGATTTCTCGCTTTCTGTCTCTGTCTTTCTGGCGAGCTGTCTCTCTTTTTGGTGAGCGAACATGTCCTATAGCAAAAACCTCCCCCTCCCCCCAAAAAGACTGTTTCTGGCATAAAGGAGCTCAGAGTCATATGGCACTAGACAGTCAAAGAAAAAAGATGCAATATGAGGGATTAAACTGCTGTCTGAGGCAATGCTAATAACATGAAGTGCAGTTGTTCAGGGAAAGCTTCAAAGAGAATGGAGACTTCTGCAGACTACTGCACTATGGAAGGCTGGGCGGGGTTCAGGTCCAGGGGTTAAAAGCCTTTTGGGAACCAGCAGTTAGCGTAATGGCTATGTCGCTGGACTCCCACGTAGTCGACCGCGG